GTACTCCGTGAACGTACCAGAGTTATGTCTGACCGCGCGCGCAATCCCCAGTCCATCGCGGACGGTGAAATCGTAGTCCACCGTGAAAGCATATTTTTACATATGATTGGACAAATTGGCACGTGGAGGGGTAGGCGGCGATAGGCTCGTGAGCTTTATTTTGGGACTCAATGTGGCAGTATCCCGTATCACTGCAGTGTAGTTATACGTGTTTTGTTTTTGGTTTGGCGCTTTTTAAGACATTATATTTTATAAGTTTAAGTTTAAAATGAGGGTTCGTGAAATAAAAAAACTTGTTATTAGTAATTTAAGTTTAGAGGAAAAAGTCGAATTGATAAATAACGGACGTCCAACGCCAGTGTTGAATTTAGTTCACCTACAGAAAGAGTGCAAAAGTAGGCCAGTTTTTAAGGAAATTACTCAAGCTTTACAAATATTAGTGACGATACCAATGACAACAGCAGAACCAGAACGGTGTTTTTCAAAACTAAATCTGATTAAAACTTTTTTGAAAAATACTACGTGTGAAGATGGTCTAAGTGCGTTAGGAATGTTGTCCATTGAGAACTGTATGGTTAAGAATATTCCAGACTTTAATGAAAAGGTGACACAGAAGTTCAGTGTGGACAAAAGCAGGAGAATGGATTTTAATTTTAAAAAATAGGGGAGTGCATTAAACAATATAAATTGATGTTATTAAAATAGTAAATAATAAATAAATGAGGCAGTGCCTCCTCTGGAAAAATTCCCAAGAATCTTTTTATAAATATTTTTCATCTCTAAATCTACATATATCCCAGCTGGGTTGGTTGAACGATCATCCACTTCAGCCCCACACGTTGGAATTTTACTTCTTGTATTGTATCTAAGTACTGTATCTACACACTGACAGTATTCATTTTGGTGTACCTATGTACCTACTTGAAAAACACAATGACCTTGAAATTCCTCAAAATTTTTCGGCTGCGGCGCTAAGAGGGCGCTGCCCCCCTCACCCCCCGCACCTCCTCTCATATACGTTCTCTCTTCAAAACGCGCCCCCCCTGTGGTTAAACCCACGGGCCGCCACTGGGTAACAGTGTTTTTATATTATGTCTGAGTCACTCTCTATAATTTCGACCGCGGAGTATAGGCTCCTTAACATTTAGACTAAACATGTCGGTCATGTTGACTAGTATACTATCCACGATTACAAAAAAATGTAATATAGATTTGAAATTAATTTATTTTTGGACAGTTTAGACAATTTAAAAATCTTTTTATCATGAATTAATTTAATATGTGGAAAATAAATGCAAAGTAAATATATTTGTAGATGAACAGTAAATCTGAGAGTAGCTATCAAAATATTTTTTGTTTATTGATGATGAAAATAACCCTCTGGAAAACGACATAGTCGATTAGAAGACAATCAGGTCGTCTAATTAAATGTTGCATTATTAAGAGGTGCATCTAACTAATATAATTTATTAATTAGTCAATCAGTTTGATTTTTAACTTTTAAGTTCTAACATGTTAAATAAAATATTGTAAACAAAGACAAAAGTTGAAACAGTTCAACTGCAATGCAAATTTTTAAAGATTATTTTTTAGATATTGTTTAAAAATCTAATCTTATCCGCCTGGTGTTTATAGAGATTGTTGGGTTATTTCACCAAGCCGCTTGTCAGATTGACTATGGTTAGATTACGAACATAAATGGCTGCCTGTATAAGAAGGCTGCTGGTATTAGTAATTAAATAATTTTTTAACATCACCTGTACCGGGTATTGGTCTTTGCTTATATAGGGACAAATAATATACCGGGTGGCTCATTTCAATCGACGCACCCGAATATCTCTGTTGCTAAGCTGAATAAAAAAAATGTTCAGACAAAAGTTTTTCAGGACAAAGGGGGGTCACCTAACTGCATTAGTAACTTTGACCTTGGTGTCAATTTTCAAGGTCATTTGAAGGACAAAGGTATTTTTTTAAATGGGAAACCCTATTTTTGACGCCGGATTCGGAAAGAGCGGGAAATTTTACGTCCAGAATGGTAGTTTAACAATTTTTAGAGTGACCTTGAAAAGGTCAAATCAAGGTCAAATATTGAAAATTCATCCAAAAGCTGTTTTTTCCAATACTTAGACAAGCACCCCAAAGGAAACGGAACTTACTACGTCCACGTCGTTGTTTCTGGGTAACGCTAAAAGTAAGATTAAGAACAGAAGTGAAATTTTTTATTTAATAAAACTGCTTCTAAATGACTTTCATATTTGACATTAAGGTCAAAATGGTCAGTCACTGGCCCCTAAGCCTACTAAACCACCAAGAATTCGAAAAAACAGCTTTTGGACGAATTTTCAATATTTGACCTTGATTTGATTTTGTTTTTCAAGGTCACTCTAAAAATTTGTTAAACTACCAATCTGGACGTACAATTTTCCGCTCTTTCCGAATCCGTCGTCAAAAATAGGGTTTCCCATTTAAAAAAATAACTGACCTTCAAATAACCTTGAAAATTGACACCAAGGTCAAAGTTATTATTGCAGTTAGGTGGCCCCCTTTGTCCTGAATAACTTTTGTGTGGGCATTTTTTTATTTGGCTTAGCGACAGAGATATTTGGGTGCGTCGATTAAAATGAGCCACCCGGTATATTGGGATGTTTGAGTTTGAGATAATTTATTAATTTAAAGCCATCACTTTCATGATTTATTTAGCCAAAACTAATAATAGATTTCCATTTAAAAAATTACCCATAATGAATACGCTTATTAGAAGGCCTTAGGATGACAGTCACAAGCAATCATGATATTTATATATGCACTTCAATAATAGTGGATAAAAGAGAGCTTTGATGAAAGGCACGATTTGTTTTAAATTTCGTCCTGACATAGTTAAGTTCTTATAAAAATCAATAACTTGTGTAAGGGATTATGCTAACCAACGAATGGGCATGAGGTTTCCAAGGTTATTCCGTCGTATGAATGTATTGATAGACAAAATAGTTTATAGTTTTGGATTGCGAGAGTTGGACCAGAATGTAAAACTGATTAGCTAGTAAGGCAGTCACCATTAGCCTCTCCCTAAGTGCAATAAGATTGTATAAATAAGTAATTGATAATATTACAGTTTTCAAGTTAAAGTCTATAATATGTAAACACAATGTGTGTTATTATTTTGATTACTACTATATATGTTATTAATGCTCGACAGTGCTGCCTGTCGTTATTTTTGTTACCTTACAGTGGAATTAATTACGTTAGACATTTCTGTGTCCAGTATTTTTATTATTATTTTTTAAATGTTTAAATTTAATATAGCTGTCATATATATAGTCTCAAATGTTCTTATTGTGTGCCACTAAAAAAAAAAATAAAAGATTTCTAAAATATATGTGTGTATCCATAAATTAAGTTAAATGTTCGAATGACTGGTTGAGATGGTTTTAAAAATTAATATGGAGAATTGTTATTAAACTATACCTATAGGAATAAATACTGTTATTGTATTTGTTACAAAACGATAAAGATTTGAAAAATACGTACATATTTAATTAAAAATGATGAGATTAACCATATTGGATTGCGAAAATGTGACTTTCTAATTAAAAGTAAATTTTTGTTTCGAGGAATGACGCGATTCATAAAAAAATATGTAAAATGTTGTCTAGATTGTGCCTATAAGAGAGATCAATATGGCCACAGAGAACGATTTTTGCATCCCATAAATAAACCTACTGAACTCTTTCATACATGGCAGTCATGGAACATTGATCATTTAAGGCCATATGTTAGGAGTGTGGGCAGATCTTCACGTATGCTTATGGTAGTAGATTTATTATCCAAGGTCCGGATCTAGGGGGTGACTACAGGGGCTATAGCTCCGGGTTTCACGAGATCGGGGGGCCACGGCAAAATTAAACCAAAAAAATCCAAAGATGCTGTATAAAAACAAAATAAACCGCAAATCTTAAATCCATTTACCATGCATACGCTAATTTTATATGGAAACATGTTAAAATAAACAAATAAACCGTTTATTCATACATAACTACGTATTGTTAAAAAAAAAATTAAATACTAATCTGTAAAGCCACTAGGCCTGTCTATCTCTGCTGATTGCGTGACCTTTTTTTTTTTGTTTTAGTAAAAAAGCTTCCATAGAGCTTGTAGCCTCAGGCCCCACCATAGGTTAATACGGCCCTGCTTAATGCTAGTATTAATGACGAAATGGGGTGGGAATTTGTGCTTGCAGATATAGTATGGGGTATAAATAATACTGTCAAGCAAGACAGGTAGGTTTAGATACAAATAGTAGTGGGGAAGATAAAGGATCTGACCAAATAATTGCTAAAAATAATATGGACAAACAAGCCCATAAAATGAAACCTGTATTTGATTCAAACTATAAAAAGGCTAACACCTATGCTGATGGTGTCCTGGTGCTGTGGGGCGCGGCGAGTATTTCAAAGAAGGAGGTAGGTCGAGGTGAGTATTTCAAAGGAGGTAGGTCGAAAAACGAGCCTCAATTTGGAAAACCTTTCAAGATGTAAAAGTATCGATATACAATTACTTCATTAAAAGGTATGTAGAATTATAAAAATATATAAGGCCTCAGTACCAGTTGACCAACTGAAGATATATAATGAAGGAGAGCTCTAGTGAGCATAAAATAATTTTCAGGTAAGTACATGAAATTAAAATAAAGATCAATTAAAAACATAAAACAAATTAAATAAAATAAACACTGATACCTAGGTACCTATATCTAATGAGATAAACATCTTTGATTTATCAAAGAATGAAAGAATTATCAAGAATAAGTTTACGTAAGCATTTATGCTTAAGTAAACTTATTCTTTGCTGGGATAGTGTGTCATTCATTTTTGTTCAGAAATATACAAGCTGTCACGACTAATACCAGTGTTTCTTTTTACTCCGCCATATTATGCAACAAGAGTGCATAAAATGGTTCTATTATCTACCTCTAGCAAAAAAAAAAAAACAAACACACTTACAACTCCACAATGTTCATTTAATATTTCTATATTTTCCACAGACATTGGAAACCAGACTGAATTTTTACAATTTGGAAAATTAATACATGTTAAATACTTTCCCAGACCATTCTTTCTGTTCCTGAAATGTAATTATAAAAATAAAGACAAAGAAAAATAACTGATTACTACCTTACAACCATGTCATTTCCACATTTTGGACATTTCAAAACAGGTCTGTGATCATTTTGGTTACCACCGAAATCGTTATTTACTGCTTGAGGCCTATCGTCCAATCTATTTGCTAAGCTGTCATCAATAAGGCGCATTTTATCAAGAACTGTTTGAAAGACAGCTCTGTATTTCGTAATTTGTTCCACACGAACTTCTTCCGGATTTTTCAAACCATCACATATTAATTTTAAGTCATTTTCAAATTCAGCTCGAAGAACTGGTTTTGCCAAAGATACTTCTAATCCTATATTGTTATATCTGTGGAGGGTTATAATGACAAAAACAGATATCAATAAACAGTTATATTTGAATACTTACCCTTCAACTAAACCCATGCCAAGTGTACCAGGAACAAAATACATGTTTTCATGTAAACCTACATAATCTCTAGATTTAATTTTATCAATGTGTTCTGCATGAGTAGCATCTGTTCCAATACCATGTTTTTCCATCAAGGCAATTAAATCAGCTTCAGTTAACAATTTTGGAGGAGTTGTAGAAGAATCAATCTAGTAATCCGTTAACATAGAAAATAAATATTTTAGTTAGCATAATTAAAAAATAAAATAAAATAAAATATATTTTCCATGATTTTCTTTTTAATTTTTCATTAGAGACATAGGCAACGTTTTTAAAGTTTTTTGTTATAATAATAGGAATAATAAGTTACTTTTATGGGTATATGCCGCCAACATACAACTATTCAAGATTTAAAAATAAGTTCTAAGCTCTAAAAATATCTATCCCTAATATTCAGTTTTATAACAGAGATTTTAGATAGCCTCCACCAACAGAAACCAGTTACTCTGATTGCGATTTAAAGAATCAGGAATATGCTAGTCCCAAGATTAAAAGTCCTGATTATAGCTGTTCTAAGATCAAAAGTCGAGATTATGCTAATCCCTAGACGCAAAAGTTGAGGTTAAGCTAATTTCGACCTAAAATGTTGGGATTACATTAATCAGTCAGCCCATGACCAGTTTTATTGGGTGTGCTGCACATTAGATTTTAAAAGGTACCTAAACATTTTCCCCCTACTAAACATAGCAGAGATGTTCAAATTCCTAGAATAAGGCCAAAGCAAAACATTCAATTTTATTATCGAGCAGCACAAATTTCAATTTGATATGAGACACTTATGATATGAATTAGGTATTAGTACCCCCTTACAAATCATTGACTGTGCCTGTTCGCTCAAATTGTAAAAAAACATAGTTGCCATAAAAATTTTTTTGATTGACAGACAAGTTTTGTAAAACCATAAATGAAATACAGTCCATTTTGTAAGCTAATTAATAGTACATTTGTATGAAATTATTGATAGATAACAGCCAACTAATAAGTTCGTTGATAATTGGGACAGAATATTATTTTTGCTAACATCAAAATTAGATAACTTTACTAAATGTGAATAGGAAATGCACACAAAAAACAATGACGCGCCTACAGCACAGGAGTTTATTGACTTTATTTTTAAAAAATGTAAATTGCTTAGACACAATTATTGAAAGTAAAAATGTCTTGATGACATCAGTTATGTAGTATCCACAACATTTTCTAATGGAAATGCCACTCATCACGTAACGTCAACAATCAAGCAAAAAATTATTTTCTCACTACAGAAATTTTTCAAAATTAACAAACATCAGATGATGCAGGTAATACATCAACTTTGATTAATAACGAAAATTTACACTCAACCTCATTGCAGTTTAAATTCACAAGTTGTAACTCAAATATTTCTTTCTACAGCACAATACATAATTATAATATATAACGTTTATAAACACGACTTCCACTTAAATATAACTACATATTTTTGAACAAATTTTGGGCAAGTAAAAAAAATTAATTATTTTTGTTCCCGCACATATAACATATTTTAATAAATGCTGCTTTATTATATTACATTATACATATACCTACATTCCTAACATATATATATATATATATATATATTTACATCTTGAAGTATTAAGGCGTCTTACCGTTTCGCAACCTTATGGCATCTCATAGAAGGAGACGTACTAGATCTTGTTTTGCTCGTGTATATTCATTGTAATGCAATGCTTAATGCCCTCTAGCGATTGGAAGACCGTGCTATGAAAATTGAATATACAGTTTTCCTACCATTTACAAAACATTGAGACCTCCCTAACAAACTCCTATTTTTATCGCGTCAGTTGTATATATTTTAACCGAAATACAAATATTCCGGACTCATATATGTTAATATACGGTTCATTACAACCTCATGCATTGTTGCCATATGATGTATTCATCATTCGCTAGTTAAAACATAATATCTATGGCCAGTCATTATAGATTTTTTTTTGGGAAAAAAATACTATGAGAAGTTTTTTTGCGGAATATTGTTCAGAAACGTGTTATAAACAAAATATCAAAAAATCAACTCGAGACTAGTTGGGAAACTTTGTTAAAACAATGGTCAAATTTATGGAAAAGTGGTTTTTTGACTCGCGTAAAAAACTGTTATTCATAGAGAAAAAAGGTTTATACAAAAAAGGTAGGTATTAAAATCTGTAAAATAAGACAAGTCCGATTAAATTCCGATAATTTGTTTATGCGCAAGAGCT